AATATTTGACTTCAATATGTGAATCCGCCACTGAAGGAGAAGCACAAAGTTGATTGATGGAACTTTCTTGCTCCCGTCTGAACTCATGATCCATCTGACCGCAAATTGCTTCATTTCTGACGAATGGATATATTGAAAAATATTACAGCTGAAGCTATAGTTTCTGAGTGAAGCTGTTTTGACATGAGTCCGACGGGTTTAACGGAGGGGTTAAAGGCGGCGCGCTGCGGTACACTAAGCCGTGTTGACATGAAGGCAATCCCGCAGCAGGACGAGGCCTTGACGCACGGCGTCTGATCAAAGAGCTGCAGGGTTTTTCATCTAATCACTCGACACAGAGACGACATCATCTGACCTTGCTGTGATCAAACACCGAGGTGTTAGGGTTAGACGGAATCAAGGTTTCATTTCATCTAATTTACACTTTGCCACCAATAAATTGAACAATCTGAAGTGCTGAACATCAAATCACAGCTGGTAAAATCTTTTTTAAGATTTGTTCATTGAATGTTTTGATTAAAAAAGAACACCACACGGCAGTAGGAGTTTTATTAATATTTTAAAACCCTTTTTGAATTCCTTATGACTACGGATACCTGTGCACATTACAATGAGATTATCTTTATCACTGCTCAGTTATTGCGTCTTCAGGTTATAGAGTGAGCTGCGAGCGGTTCAGAGACTTTTTTTTGAAGGGAGTTGACTTTAAATGAGGACTTGAGACATCGTACTTGGTCTTATTCTGGTAAATCTGAGCTCACTTGGATTTGTGTGTTTACACTGATGAACAAACCTTATACATCCTCGCCCAGCATGTCTGATTTACTTGAAACTCAACACACATCTCCAGCTTTGCCAGTTCCACAAAAAAGCCTCTTAGACTCTCTGCCTGTAATTACTTTCCTTCATTTAACATTTTGTGAAACTCTTTACCAAATGTGCTGTGAGTCACTATTGGTTCTCTATTCTGTTTAGAACATGTGGACCAATGAACTTGTAAAAGACTTTTCTGTTTCATTGATAACCAACCAAAACATTTTACCATTTTATTTTATCACGGAGCGTACCTTTTCACACTTTTTTTACTTAATATTTGTTACTATTTTTTCCATGACATTTTTTGATACAACATATTTTGACACTTTTTATAAGTTTGTTTTTGCAAAAAAAAATTGGATTTGTTTTTCCATAATATTTTTTTACATATATGTTTGGACTAATATTCTCTATTATTACTTTTCTTGACCCAACATATTTTTACTTTATTTTCAACATTTTTCATCATAACACATTTCCTTTTTTCTTTTTATCAAAATATTTTACAACCCAATTTTTTAAAACTTTTATTTACATTTCCATTCCGTTCGACCCAAGACATTTGGATTTTTTTTTACCTAATATATTTTGACTTTTTTTTTCTAAACTTATGCAAGCAGCTTCTGAAGGTCGCTGGCATGCATGGCAGCATCAGGCGTCCGAGGGCCGGGCCGATGCTGCTTGCGGCCTTAATTGTTTATGTAACTGATCAATGCCAACAACAAGCCCTCGTGCTCCACCAACATGAAAATGAGACTGAGCTTTTTCCCCGCTTCTAAGAACAACCAACAAAGACAAATAATCAGCCTTCGAAATATTTATATACTCAAGGTTTAAAAGATTCGACTTCAGTGTGGGAGACTAAAGCTCCTATTATACCTTTTACAAACATTCCACCTACGTTCATTCATTTTCAAATGCATCCATCCATTTTGAGGTTGCTTAATATGAAGCTCCTATTCATTACATTGCAACCTGCCTCCCAAAACCCTCTTCAATGTGATGACAAAAGCCTTCGCACTCCTCTTTGTGAAAGATTGGCTGAGATTAGCCAGTGCCTACCTACACACAGCAGTAACCATGAAGTGCTTACTAGTTTTACTTAGTGGTATTACTTTTGGTTAATCTCTGGTAAAAAAAAGTTAACTCCAAACTGATCACAAACAGCAAACTTTTTTCTCAAATATCCACCCATTTCTTTTCTTTATCCTTTTTTTGCCATTAGCAGATGTCATTTTGCACAGTCCTCCTCTGATAATCCCTTGTTCTCATTTGGCTGGTCTTTGATGTCGACTGTTGAACCTGACAAACCCGAGTGTATAAAGAGGTTCTGAGGGTCGCGTCTCTCACATTCAGCATCACTCATTGTTTCAACAGGAGAAGGATTCAGCTCCGGGGATTTCAAAGAACTTCTGATCCGTGAGGCAGAGGCGGTTCAGTCGAGGAGACACGAAACGCCGACATCCATCAAGGTCTCTCGCTAGCGGCAACGTCTCAAATCTTATTCAGGAGGAGCTCGGTCTTTTTCAGTGAATGTCCTGATTCTGCTGTTTCCTGAATAAAGACATTGTTTGGGTTGGATATAAATAAATATTTTTGAGGAAGAGATTCTCATGTGAAGCTGCAGCCATTGGCTGGTTAGCTTAGCTTAGCATAAAATAAAGATGAATTGTAATAACTTCAGTGCACTCTTGATTTTTTTTTCATGCAGCTCCACACTGGTCGAACCTTTTGCTGTAAACTACTTTTGGTTTATGACTTGCAGAATCAACGGCAATACCACCGCTGTCAATTTGGCTTTCTGATTACTGCCGATTAGCATGCTAACCTGCAACTACGGGAAGTAGGCGGCTCACGAGCGCCGAAGCAACTGAACGCGAGTCCCAGTGGGACACTCTGCAAGCACCAGAAGCAGGTGAGCTGTCCGCTTTGTGCAGCCGTGATGGATGTGTGCTCAGTGTGATCGGTGACCTGGTTCCACCGCTTTTGTTCGCCGACAGAAAGACGGTGAGCTCCGAGACCAAGAGTGAATCTCGCACTCGCTCATATCAAGGCTTCACAATTGCTGAAGCTAATTGGATTATTTCTGTGTTTTGAAGTTCAAAGAGGAAGGTGGGCGTTCAAAGGCATCAGCCTAAAGGTGCGAAAATGAGAACACAGCAGTGCATGAAAATGCACGATGAAGAATGTGATTGTCCACGGGTTCAGAAGGTCATATGGGGGCCGTGAGTTAACAGGTTTAAGTAGATGTGACTCTCTGCAACGAGCCGATTGGTGTGGAGTCACCGACGAAATCCATTTCGGTGGGGGAGGTGGAAGGAGGGTAGAAGATGTTCCCTCTGATGTTCCTTCTGAGAACCAGCAGGAAGAAAGTGAGAATGATTACAGTTTTCCACAACGTTCATTTCTCTTTCTATGAGTTTGCTTTTTCCAAACTTTTCATATGGGTCACTTTTTCCAACTGTTCCAATCTGAAACACACTAACAACACCAAAACACACACAAGAAAAACTATTGACTCCAAACACTGACAATGAATTCTTGCATGAATCATGATCCACAAAAAAAGAAAGTTACATTGAGTAATACCTTACCGAAAAGCAATTCCATTACTGCAATACCAAACAAACGCGTACATTTTAGTTATACTGAGCTACAAGCTCTGTCATACAGTCATTTTAATCAAAACTTTAAAGGGAAAACTAAACTTTAAACCACAACAAGTCAGCAGCATAAACTTTCAACACATGCAAATACCATTTGTGAGAATCAAGACAAAACATCTTCACCTCCAATATCTAATATGCATTTCATCCCGTTATTCTTCTTCTGCCGTGTTGTGTGACCTCACTCAAACGGCACACTCCTGATAAAAAATAAAAGCTAACAACGATGTTGTGTCACAGACCAGCATGAATAAATATTCAAATGTATTTCTACAGAATCTCATTTCGCTGTAAAAGTGCCCACGAGGCTCCTAGTCTGCCTCCGCACGAGTGAGGGAGGAAGGTCTGTCTGACCCGGGGTCGGTGGCGGTGTGAATCCAGAGGTTCCTGTAACCCAGCAGGCTCCGTTCATAATTGGAACGCCCTGCTGATTGGAATGTTCCGGCTCCCGTTCACACTTCAAAGGCTCGACCCGCCTCTCACTTTCACTAAACACAATGGCGATTCATTGAGGGAGAGGAGAAAAGATTCTGGCGGCAATGAAACAGTAAAACCCAAAGTGGCGCTGAGCTGATTAAAAAAAAAAAAAAAAACGGTTCCATGTTGTATGTTGCGCCAGTTGTGATGGCAGACACACAATGCGGCCTAACGGCAACCCACTGAGGCCGCTGAGTACGGCTAGGTGCTTCGCGCTCTTCATGGCGTTGTCCTTCAACGCCTACATCGCTGTGGTCGACAGCATGCTGGGATCGTCGCCCGGCTTGCGTCTCGACAGTTCACACGTAGCCCTTTTCTTCGGGTGTCAGGTGTGAGGTGAAATACCAACGGGGCGCTGAAACAACCGGGGATTCATTCAGAATCTCAAGTATTTCATTTCAAAATGGACTGTGTCTTTTCCGAGGGAGACAAGGTCAGAGACGGCTTCCCCTCCATTTGAGGGTAAGGTGGCAGTGTGTGTGTGTGTGTGTGTGTTTGCAGACACCCCCTGGCATGAATGAAACGAACCGATCCTCATCCAAACCTGTCAGCCTGACACAATTTCTCCCTTCCCTCATCTCTCCGCCTGAAATGACAACGAAGCCTTGTTCACAAACATGTTCGGCCCTGTCGTTGTTACAGGAAGTGAGGAGCGGCGAGGACAGAGTGGGCGAGGGAGCAATGACTTATGTGGTCGGAGGTGAAAATTGTTTCCTATTTGTGGGCTTTTTAAGATGTATTTTCTTCTGTTTTCTTTTTAAACCTAGATTTTTGTAGCTTTGGAAATATTTTACATAAAAGAAGGCCAGCTTGTTTAAATTGTGTAAAAATGGATGCTCACTTGTGCGGTTATTGATCTTCTTTATACAGCTGTATGTATTTATTGTTCATATGAGTTGTAAAATGCAACAACATTAGCAACCCAACACGAACATCTGCAATAAAAAGCAGAAAGAAAAATAGAAATATAAATCTGACAATGGAAAATGAATTGAAGAGAATCATATCCATTTTATTTCCATTTTTTGGACACTGTGTACTGTTGCCCTTTGTGATTCACCCCCAAAGAGGACAGCTGCATTATTTTCTGGGGGATCTTCTTGTTACCGTTTTAGATTTTCATCCAGCGAGCAGTTACATGTGAGCACCCCACAGTTCCATTGATCCCAGAGAGAGCACGGCGTCCAATACGTCATCACCGAGACCCCGAGGCGTTCAGCGAAAGCTCTCCTCTGCCCGCTGAGCCTCTGGCCCGATAAACAGCTGGATCCTGGCTGGCAGCAGGCCTCACGCCTTCTTCCCAATAAACAGCTGGATCCTGGCTGGCAGCAGGCCTCACGCAGGCCTCACGCAGGCAGACTGAGATCAGCAGCAGCTCCAGACATGTCGAGTCACAGAATGCCTCCATAGTGCGCAGAGGATTATGTGTGAAGTGTGGTTATTACGCTGTAGGCGTGTTTGGACATTTTCTGATGGTACATCAACAATAAGCACAGATGATCAGCTGCTAAGTTAGTTGGTTACTTTGAAATTCTAGTTTATTTAAAAGGTATGTTTTTGACTATTTCATCATGTGTTCCTAAGTACCCGATAAAACATGCCAAAACTTGAAGCCCTGAACATTTGCATATGTGAACGTAAGGAAACAACATACTGAATAAATCATGTATAAATCATAAACTTTTAAAGGAAATGTTGTGCTGCACTACCTGAAAGTCTTGCATACATGTTGTAACTGTCCGTAGAGAAAAAGCAAATCCATTGCAATTGCACTCCCCCTGTATTTGTTTTGTGCCAGAATGGGGTGTGTGCTTCAAAGGCCAGAGGACAGACTTGGACAGGAGACAACTTGTCCCAGAACTGAACTGAAAACAGGCCCTCAAGTAAACAAATGATGTGAAGTGTGGCAGGTATTTGTTCACTGTGCAGAGAGATAACAGTGACCTCTAGTGGCAGAAAGCAGTGATAATCCATGTCAGCCATCAGCCACAACACATTCATTCCTACTTAGATGTCATATTAAACAGATATTTACTGTCTGCAGAAAAAAATATTCTAATTTTAACGTTTGAGTTTTGGGTGAAAGTTTCCCATTAACTCCTCTGTGATGCACCTCGTTATCTCTACTGCTTTGCTTATTTCCTGTCCTGGAAAAATCCAGTCAACAGCTCCATATTTTGGTACATTGATGGAAAACTGACATAATGTACATTCTGAAAATTATTAAAATACTGAAGTAACACAGAGTTTTTTTCAAATTTTCTTCATATGAAAAATTACTTTACAATACGTGATTTTTTGCATAAACAACACACCAGTAATAAGAAAGCTTCTCCTCCAAATCAGCTACAATGTCAAAGCAGAATTTTAGATAATTATATACTTATTTTCCTGTTTTACATTAAACTCCAAGAAAACCCAAGCACAACTTTGAACCCAGGAATTTACACGTATTAAACTTCTTACCCTACGTTGTTGTCCTTCTACTTGTATTTGAATTATTGATCTGAAAACCTCCCTCACATTCAAACTTTGTCCAGACTTATGATAGTTGTCTGCATGCCATATTCACAGAGTTTTACCGTTTTTTTACACACTTTACTGAAGAAAATACATCATTGCATTTTAGGTTGAATGCAATGAAAAACTTTATTGCAGTACCTTTACAGTCTATTGGCCTCTCAGGAGCCGGTCTGCAGAGTAACAATACGTTTAACTGCTTTTCTAAACCACGGGTAAAACAATGCATAGATCAGAGGGTTCAGACAGGAGTTTAAATAGAACAGATAGAGCACAAAGGACATATATAAATTACTAAGCTGGCTGTAACCTACCAGGGACACAATGTAGTACGGGCAGAAACAAATGAGAAACAAAACCACGAGGACACCAAGAGTCCTGGCTGCTTTCAGCTCCGACTTCTTGGCTCTCTGACCAACAGGAAGCTGGTGGGTGACGACCAACACGTGCGAGCGCAGGGAACGTGCCTGGGACGCAGCCACGGCAAACACTCTCATGTACAGAACTACGATGACACTGACGGGGACACCGAACGTCACAACCAGGTCGACGGTCACTGTGACGTAGTCGATGACAATCAAGCACTCTCCGTGGCAGGAGCTGTACCTGCCGGATGGAGTCACGCCATCGCTTGCTAAGACGCCGCTGTAGCAGACAGAACAGAGCCAACAGGTGCACACACTACATCTGACTCTTTTCACTGTGACTCTGGTGGCGTAATGGAGAGGCTCACAAATGGACAAATAGCGGTCCAGGGAAATGAGCACCATGGTGCCCACTGAGACGGACGTAATGATGAAGAACACATAATTAAACAAAGCACACACGAGGTCACCGAGAAACCAGCAGGAGACTCTGAAGAGGATTTCTACCGGCATCACCAGGAGGCCCACGAATAAGTCAGAGACGGCCAGGGAGACGATGAGGATGTTGGTGGGTGTGTGGAGGTGCCTGGTGGGAAAGAGAAACGCGTCTTTAAAGTAACAAGCCCTCACATCCACAGGCCAAAAACACCAAAACTCACTTCTAATTGTTTTAGTCACCATGAAAATCACATTTGACAAATATTTCTATAAAAGCTGCTGGCGTGGCAATATTCAACTGTTCTACCCACTCAAAGATAATAACCCTCCTAATATATAGTAGCTGTTCACTGCTTTTCTAACCCGTCATAGGGAGCAGTTTGACTTGTCAAAGGAGGAAAAGCACACGTAAGACAACTAAAACGTTAAAACACTCATTATTCAAAGACTGTACAGTTTAACAACTTGCTCAATCTTCATGAAACTTAAATTGTAGATTCTGCTGAGGGTTTAAACTCTGCCTGAAGAGGGAGACCGAGATGATGACGACCAGGTTGAGGGCTACAGTGAGCGCAGAGACGGACATCAAAGCGAGAGACAGCACGGCGTCGTTCCAAAGCACGCTGGGCTTCCTGCAGGAGACGTTGAGGAGTTGTGGAAAGCAGAGCTGCGATGCGTGCTCAGCCATCCTCTGCAGACGTGTGACGGATTCACCCCTCTCGCATCCTCTTAACTCCCTCCCCGCCGCTCTGGGTCGGTCTCTGATGGATTACGATGACCCTCCTCAGTGGACTGCACACCACGCCATCATCTTCATCACTCGCTGAGCAAGTTTCCATGCAGAACATTCTTAATTGTTGCGTGCGTTTGATATCCTGGATATCCCAGTAATCACAGTCCTAAAACACCTGACTGCAAAGGTCAATTTCATGTATAAACATGACGATTGTACTAAAGCTTATGTTGTGTGCCGTAGTGTTTGTGCCTCCAGACAAGACAATAACCTGCCTCCATCGGGGGCCTCGGTGAAGGGTCCCTTTTGGCCTGGAGTGTTTCCCTCTGAAGGTCATGTCATTCAACACAGCTTTGATTCTTGCACTAAACTCAGCTTATATCAGTGTTCAAACCGACTGATACATGTTGTAACTTTCCCTGTAAAAAAAGCAAATCCATCAAAATTGCACTCTATTTGTTTTGTGCCAGAATGGGGTGTGTGGTTCAATGGCCAGAGGACAGACTTGGACAGGAGACAACTTGTCCCAGGACTGAACTGAAAACAGGCCCTCAAGTAAACAAATGATGTGAAATGTGGCAGGTTGTTGACTGTGCAGAGAGATAACAGTGACCTCTAGTGGCAGAAAGCAGTGACAATAATCCATGTCAGCCATCAGCCACAACACATTCATTCCTACTTAGATGTCATATTAAACAGATATTTGCTAATAAAAAATAAACAGAACGAACAAAAGAAACAAATTCGAACACGCGTCAACTCAACGTTTACGGTCCCCTACTGCCTGAAGAAACCACATGTCAAGTGAAAAAACTTCTTCGCGGAAAAGTAAACGCCGGGATAATATTGGATTATCGATCACCAGAGGAAACTGCGACGCAAGTTACCAGCCTGTAGTCTCGGACGGACTCTGGTAAGCTAACGCTACTAAGCTAGCTTGCATCGCGCCGATGGTTGCGGAACGTTACTCGGTAGTGCGACTACAGGAGCTGTGCACATGGATAAGGTGCAGTAACTGTGCTAAGTGATACTGTGCAGGACTCATTGGATTGTTATAATGGACCAACAGGAGCCAGAGGCAGCCAGAAGTAAAAGGCAAGTGAAGATGACAGAAAAGGCTGTAGATGAGGCAAGGAATAAACTAATACAGCAAAGGCGGAGTAAGCTAGCTCAGCTCACAGGCAAAAGGAGGGAAATTGAAAGCATTACCATAGCATTATTGCATAAAAACTGAGCAATGGTTATAGGGAGTTGTTTGGTGACTTTGTTGAGATAAACTATGCTCTGAAACGGTTCCTTACTGAAGAGGAATTGATGGAAGACCAGCAGTGTTGGTTTAAACCTAAAGAACACGAGGCAAACATTTTCATTGTTAAAACTGAAAGATGGTTGAAGGTGTTCGATGAACGTGATGAGCAAGCAAATCTATTACATTATGATGAAATCAAGCCATCAGATAGGATATCTGCAATACTGTCTACCATCAGCAGAAAGAGTGGGAAACCCGCATCTGAAAGTGGTAGTGCTGTCTCATCCACAGTGTCATCTATCCGCCTTAAAGCAGAGGTGGAAAAGGCTGAAATACTAGCTAAGGTTTCCGAATTAAAATAAAAACAGGAATTGGAAAGGCAGGAAGCTGAATTAAAGGCAAAAACAGAGGAGTTGGAGTTAAACACTGCTTTAGCAACTTCAGATGCTAAGCTTAAAGTGTTGGAAGACTTTGAATCTGGGCACAGGTCGATTATAGAGTCAACACAAGGAACAAGGGACGTAAAAGAAAGGCATGCGGGTCACAGTCATGGGGAGACTGGTCCAGTCCATCCCCATAACCCACAGCTAAGCAAATATGGTCGTACGGTGCAGCAGCACAGGAACGCTGACATTAGCAGCAATGTTGTGGAGACATTATGTAGCGTTATGCAGCAGCAAGCTAACATTTCAGAACTAATGATGGAGCACCATAAAGGATCAACTCTGCAACAAGGATCGGCTCTACTATTTGGAGCAGTTTACTAGTGGGCAGCCCCGAGAGCTAACTAGAAGCTGTCTCCACATGGAGCCCGCGCAAGGATATAATACGGCCAAGCAGCTTCTCAGAGAACAGTTTGGAAATGAGCATGAACTTACATAGACAAATGTTAGGGTTTAGGACTGCAGTACCCTGAAGGACCATGTGGGGTCCTCAGTGATCCAGTTTATCCTGTCACATGTGTGTGGTCTTGATTGTTTTCATTGTGTTCACCTTTGCCTTGTTTTCTAGCCTTTAAAAGGCCACCTGAGTTTCTTTGTGTTTGCCGATTCTTGGAACTTGCCACCTGGAGCTTAGCCATGTGAGATTCTAGATGCTCTACCTCTGTTAATCCTTTTTGGTTTTTGAGATCTTTTGTCGCCTCTTTTTTGGGACACCCTTAGTTACCTTGTTAAATGCCCACAACTTGTTTTTAGTTGTCTAGAAATATTTTTGAGTTACTGTCCAGCCTTAGGGAATCCTCCTGCTCTCTTCAAGTAAGGAAACCTTTTTTGATTCCCTACAAACAACTCGTCCGATCCTGATAGACAAAGCCTTAAATTGGGCTCCTATTAAACCTGAGGACGGGGAATCCTTAAACGCCTACTCACTTTTCCTTACTGGATGCTGCAACGCCATGATGGACAATAGCCACATGGAAGAAATGAATTGTTCTGCCAGTATGAAAGCCGTGGCCACCAAGCTGCCTTACAAGCTGAGAGAAAGATGGAGGCAAATGGTTTGTGACATTCAGGAACAGCAGAACATAAAAGTAAACTTTAAAGACCTTGATGGTTTTATCCGTAGACAATCAAAAATCGCTATGCATCCAATATTTGGGGATATAAGGGATGGCCAACCAATTAAATCAGGTCCATGGGTGCACGCAGAGACTAAGATACAGGATTGGAGAAGCAAGAAAACATTTAAAACAAGTGCAAGGCACATTGACCACACGTTTGAAGACATTACAGAGGACGGTGAGCAAAGAATGCAAAGCGTTCCATCAGATACTGTTACGACAAACCCATGCATGTTTAGACTCATGTAACGGGTTAAGAGGGAAGACACATAAATACAAAATAGAGTTTCTGCGTGGCAATCGAACAGGAAAGCAAACCTGCCGCCAATACGGACAACAGTTTGGATTTTGCAGTCACTAGTGCAATGGTACGTGCAGAAAAAAAAATGTGGAGTCACTCGGGCTGGGAAAGAAGAGTGCATACTCTCAATAGTTCCTGTTCGAGTCAAAGCAACAAAAGAAAACAAAACCGTAGAAACGTACGCCTTCCTTCATCCAGGAAGTACAGACCGCTTCTGCATGGAGACATTACTAAACCAACTTAAAGCCAGCGGAAGGAGAACCAGCATCTTATTAAGAACGATGGGCGGCGAAAGGCCTGTTGACACTCACAAGGTGTCTGGAAGTCAGTGGTCCTTCTGAGAACAATTTCATTGAGCTCCCGAACGTCTTTAGTAGAAAAAACATACCTGTAGGCAAGGACAACATTCCACGTCAGGAAGATTTGAAAAGATGGTCTCACCTTAAGGACGTGAGCATTCCTGTAATCAATGCAGAAGTGGGACTGCTCATCGGAGCTAACGCACACAAGGCCATGGAGCCATGGTAGGTGGTGAATAGTGTCAATGATGGACCCTACGCCGCAAGAACCAGGCTGGGATGGATTGTAAACGGACCATTAAAGGAAAGTACTGCTCGCCAACAAAGGGGAAAACCATGTAAGGTTTCAGCAAACTGCATCTCAGTAACAAGACTCGATGACTTGGTGGATTTCTCTGAGAAGGGAAGAGACGAAGCCCTGACGCCAAACCATCTCTTGCTGCTAAAGGGAAAACCTGCATTACCACCTGGATTATTCGACCGTGATGATCTCTACACTCTACAATGTTAATTGTTTAAAACAATTGGGGGCCGGTGTTGTAGGAGCCAAAATGTGTATTGTGTTGCAGTTGCATGTTCAGTTAATCAGATCATGTGTGTGTCTAATTTCACCGTTGTGGGGGTCACTGTCATTTGTTTGTGTATAAAAATGCACGCGGGTTGCGGACTGACGTCACCCAGTTGTACGTGATGAGAGGTTTTGCGGTGGTTGGTAAAGGACAGTGGCGGAGCGGAGCTGCACAGTTTTTTGACCGTGTATAGGACAATATTGTGACATATACGCTTTGTATATTGGTACCGTGATACTCACGGAATAAAGGAAGCTGTATTTCGAGAACATTGCATAAATGAAGACAGTTGGCTTTCACAAACTGAGCGAAGCGGTGTGAGATTGCTTCTTGCACTAACCTCAGCTGATATCAGTGTTCAAACTGACCGATACATGTTGTAACCTTCGCTGTAAAAAAAGCAAATCCATCAAAATTGCACTCCCCCTCTATTTGTTTTGTGCCAGAATGGGGTGTGTGCTTCAAAGGCCAGAGGACAGACTTGGACAGGAGACAACTTGTCCCAGAACTGAACTGAAAACAGTAAACAAACTCAAGTAAACAAATGATGTGAAGTGTGGCAGGTATTTGTTCACTGTGCAGAGAGAGATAACAGTGACCTCTAGTGGCAGAAAGCAGTGATAATAATCCATGTCAGCTATCAGCCACAAAACATTCATTCCTACTTTGATGTCATATTAAACAGATATTTACTGTCTGCAGAAAAAAATATTCTAATTTTAACGTTTGAGTTTTGGGTGAAAGTTTCCCATTAACTCCTCTGTGATGCACCTCGTTATCTCTACTGCTTTGCTTGTTTCCTGTCCTGGAAAAATCAACAGCTTCATATTTTGGTACATTAATGGAAAACTGACATAATGTACATTTTATAAATGATTAAAATACTGAGCTAACATATAATTTTTTTCAAATATTCTTTATTTAAATAATTAGTTTACAAGATGCAGTATTTTTTGCCATGTAACAGCAATAAGAAAGTTTCTCCTCCAAACCAGCTACAATGTCGAAGCAGAACTTTGAATAATTGTATACTTATTTTCCTGTTTTACATAAAACTCTAAAACCCAAGCACAACTTTGAACAGAAGAATTTACACATATTGAACTTTTTCTTACCCTATGTTGTCCTTCTATATTTGAATTATTGATCTGAAAACCTCCCTCACATTCAAACTTTGTTCAGACTTATGATAGTTGTCTGCATGACAGATTCACAGAGACTTACTGTTTTTTACACACTTTACTGAGGAAAATACATCATTGCATTTTAGGTTGAATGCAATGAAAAACTTTAATTGCAGTACCTTTACAGTCTATTGGCCTCTCAGGAGCCGGTCTGCAGAGTAACAATACGTTTTACTGCTTTTCTAAACCACGGGTAAAACAATGCATAGATCAGAGGGTTCAGACAGGAGTTTAAATAGAACAGATAGAGGAAAAAGGACTCATATAAATTACTAAGCTGGCTGTAACCTACCAGGGACACAGTGTAATACGGGCAGAAACACATGAGAAACAAAACCACGAGGACACCAAGAGTCCTGGCTGCTTTCAGCTCCGACTTCTTGGCTCTCCGACCAACAGGAAGCTGGTGGGTGACGACCAACACGTGCGAGCGCAGGGAACGTGCCTGGGACGCAGCCACGGCAAACACTCTCATGTACAGAACTACGATGACACTGACGGGGACACCGAAGGTCACAACCAGGTCGATGGTCACTGTGACGTAGTCGATGACAATCAAGCACTCTCCGTGGCAGGAGCTGTACCTGTGTGTGGGCTGATAGCGGCACTTATGTGGGACTGCACTCTGCATGTCTATTTTGGAATGGAAGAGAAGTAAAAGGTCAAAACTACAACGCGTCTTATCTTCATTATCTGGGTTTAACTCAATGTTTAACGAGTGTTCCAACACACTGCACGGGAACATTGCAGTGGAAAAGCAAGTTTTTTGGATGTTTCAAGGGGTCAAGATGGAAGCAAAAGACCAATCATCTGTATCCAACGCTAGAAGATGCAGGACATGTGCCTCTTCGTCAAGGGTGGTCCGTGCTCGGGCAAAAGCTGAAGCTGCGAAAGTGAGAGCGTCACACGCCAACCAAGAGGCAAAACTGAAGATGGGAAAGGCTACAGAAGAGGCCCAGACTCATAAACAAGTGCTGGAAAAAGCAAATCTGAATCAGAAATGGTTAAAATTCACATGGGCCCCGCTCACTTTACACATGCTCGCTTCATCCGTTATCATAGAAAAATACACATTGATTAAATGTTATGTATTATACCATTATGTCGCGGTTTCATTTTGCTGTTCAATAATAGTTGCATCATTTGTTGACACATAGAAGCTTGTTTTTCCCGACACCTCTGATTGCGCGATGTCATCATCTGACTAATCCACGCAGGTGTGAACAAGCTTCCCGTCTTTGGGGTTTAGACACACTGCCATTAGCAGCAACTAATGGGCAGCAAAATGCTGCCCATAGAGACAATTCAATCTCATGGGCCCTGAATGAACAAACAAACACTGATCTAGAGGGATCAGTTGTTTCTTTTCTGCTCAATAAGTCACCACAACATCCACCTCAAGTTTTTAATTTGAAAAATGTTTTTTAAATCAATTCCTTTTTTGCTACCACAAGGCTGAATGTATTATATCGCTGTATTACATACAACACAAACACTTTCTAGGTTGCTCCGTGATTAAATAATTTACCACCCAAGTGGACGTGGTCGTTTGCGACCTTGCGAATGAGTTGATTAATATATGTGCAACCTTGACCATAAAAGACTACATTCAGATGAATGAAGAAGTCCAGAGATGGTGTACTTTGTGAACCCAGTTTCACAGCAAAACGCGTAACAGCTACGTTGTGGAACGTGGTATTCTCACGCTTTAGCCCCAAAATCGTGACAAAACTACATTTATTTTGGCCCGTTCATTTACGTTGCCTTGCAACTACGTCACTAGACTAATAAACGGAAGGTCTTCTACATTCTCCGATAGAAGATTCTGAAAATATAACGCATACTTCTCACTAGAAATGCCATCGAAATGCATACAAATGCTGATGCTTTCTTAAAATACTGTGTTTTTCACAGATAATAGACAGACAGTCCGCCATTTTCTTTTTTTTTTAGTTGAGGAGAAGTTGATAGTCACGCAACTAAAACGCAACTAAAACGCAACTAAAACGTATCGTCACGCTTTCTCCCCAAGAGTGTGAGAATACCACGTTAAACAACGTAGCTTTTACACGTTTTGCTGTGAGACTGCGTGGACTTTGTGTGCTACGAACTTCATCTGTGTTACTCTGAGAAACCACATACCAAACAAGAATTTTGAAACTCATGATAGTTTATTTCCACAGGAAATATGCCATGGATCCAGACATTGCGATTTTGTAATCCCTGAATATAGAAACTAAGATACTCTTATGTGCTTAGGGGGGGATGAGTAAATAATCCCTTTGTTCAATTTAAGAGAAACTGTGGCAGACGTCATGCAGCTGACGGTTTGTGCTGCGATGTCACTTCGTGGATCCCTCTGTACCAACTTTTTTCCGTGATTGGATCCGTGCACATTTCGGACACTTCTGTAGCACAAAGCAGTGTTTGTGGAAGCACGTCTTGCACACTGTAAAAAAGACAAGCAAGGGAATCATTTCTGCACCGTCTCTATAAATACCAGTGAATGTAGCATTTTGGTCTGAAATTAAGTCTCTGTTGCAAAGAACATACGACCTCAGACTGTCGAGGCACCCGATGGACGTAATAATGTCTTTTTTTAATTACATTTTTATAAATTGGATAATACTTTCAATATATTGTAGCGTCCCGGGCGTAGTTGTTCACTCAGAAGGCAAATGGACGTTGGAGCAGGAATCCTTTTATTCATTAACAGTACCAACAGTTATCGAACAGCCCCACGCTATCGGCATGCCGTAACATTACTCAACAAACTGTTATCAACCGGAAGTCATTTCAATACCAAAACACGGGAACACCCACCTCCCCTGACCCCCCCCTGCCTAGCGTGCACAGTGCCTCCCCATGATTGGCGGGATGACGTAACACTCAGGACGAACACACACACACACACTCGTTTAAATGCAAATACAAATTATATTCCATATTCAGTGTATTTTATTGGCCTTATTCTACAACATCAGCTCTTTATTCAGCATTTTTTAAGACTAATCATATGGCATTGCTTACCTGGGCATTGCCTACATATGTCCGCCTGAAAAGGAAAGAGGACGTCTCTTTCTCTGCAGAACTCACAGATAAACCCTCGGGCCAGACACAGCTGTGTGGAAAGAGTCAAAAGAATTGGTAAAATACAGTGTTTAGGTTGAACCTATCCTTGTTACGGTTTCAGAAGCGCCACCTCCGCATTCTGCCACTGGAGTCCCTGCTCGCTATCCATTGCGCAATTGTCACCCTGTCACTTAGACACACAAGGCCTCCTCATGTGTTTTCCATCCTGGTGACGAGCTGGCTGGCATTCTGATTGCTTGCTTTTGGCCTCATTACAGAGCTGCAGTTGCCCGTCGCCCACCGTCGCCACTTGTCTGGGTTATTGTTTTCGCTACCAACTGACACACGGCGGGACGCTGACCGCTCTTCCGGATTCAGATGTATAAATGTACCGTAAGAATAACTGGACTTTCGGACCATTAAAACTGCTAGCAGGGCATTAACCTTTTCCTGTCTCCTGAGTGTTGCATTTGAGTTCAGAACACGACACAGCCCTAACAATCCTTTAACTATTAATAACATCCCACTAACAGTGCTCACGGTGGGATTTAAAGGTTTGTGTGAATCCTGATCGGTTCGAGGGAAAATACATGTCACCAACTATAACACTGATTTTTCTAAATGAGTCCCAGCAACTTCAAACCAGTGGAACGATCCATTGAAAAATAGATTTGATTAATAAATCTTCTATTTCAGGCTGTTAAGACTGATGTTTTTCAACGTCTCCAATGTCAAAAACTGAAAACAAATCCCTTAAACTGAATTAATTACAATTATTTACAACTACTTTTTTGGAAATTTGGGGGTGTTTTGATGCCAACTTCTCTGGTCAGGTACTTTAATACCGTCGTCAGTATCTGGGTCGTTTTTTTATCAAACACCACAGGTGTCTACTTTCTACTTTTTGGTCTTCAGCTCAGTGTGAAATTTCACTTTCATGTGAGAACTCAGTCCTGAGTTGCTGCGTCTTTGTCTCACATTTGGGCCAATGATGAACATCTGCATGACATTCAGCGTCACGCATCGTGAAGATTGAAGAACGAGGTACATGCTACACGTGTTTCCTCATAGCGCCTGGGACCGACCTCACAGCTCCGGACGTGGTCGATGGCGGTGAGCAGCAGCGCTCTGGTCTGCGCCACAAGCTGACCCTTCTTCACCCTGGAGAGGTCATCCATGGAGAAGAGGTGAGGCTGCTCCATCAGGTGAGCTGGAAGCCGCTCCAACTTAGCCGTCACCCTGAGACGGAAATTTTTACTCAATAAAAATCCACCAAAGCGCTGAATTTAGGATGTTAATGTGATTAATCACCTTTCTAATCATTCTGATGTTGCATGTTTTTGTGAGTTCTGCTGCTGCCACTCGACTAATAATAAAATTCATATATATTGAGTTGATTCTTAAAGTCTGCAATCCTACTTTAGGTAAACATCGCATTATATTTAATCCAGTGAATATCTGATAAATATTCTGTGTACCGTTCAGATAACCTGCAGGTTGACAGCAGCTTCTTGAGGCTCATCAGATGTCCCTGCAGCTCCTGGAGGAGACACGAGAAGGGTACAAAAATGTAAAGTGACCCTAAACAAAGTGGAAGTATTAATATATGGAAATACTAAAGCAGTAACTTGGTGGTACATGAGCTGCTTTATCTGCAGGCCTCTTGTGAACAGGTTGGGAAGACAAATAATAACCGTTATGACAGAGCTAATGTTGTTAATGATGAATTCTTTCACTCACCCTGAACTTGTCCAGCTCCTTCACTTTGCTGTAGAGCGTCTTTCCGACGCGTGTCAGGTCGAACAGAGGCTGATGCCAAACGGAGTCCAGCAGCTGTTTGGAGAAATCACTCACAGGGTATCTGCAATATGTATAATAATACAAAAACGGTATTTACTTGCTCTCAGGATGACAATTACCATGTCCATTAGTGTGTTCAAATCCATAATACTGTTAGCACGTTTACGACATTGTGGACAGTAGTATCAGTCAGCTGCACTAATAGTTGTAGTTTTATTCAGGTTTTTATTACCGTCCAAAGTCCCAGCAGGACAAAAGTCGCCCGGGAATCACGGCTTCAGAGCCGCCGTGGCAGCAGTCACAGAAATATCTGCCAAAATAATCAGAATTAATCGACAATCCAACAGCTGGATGCATTTTTGTGTCCTTTATTAATGCTTGCAGTAGTGACGGCTTTGGTCCCCAGTTCTGTGTGTGATTGCTATTATATTTTGTACGGGTGCTACGTACCTGCCAAGATATTCACAATACCGCAGTTTCTTGATGTACCCTGGTGGCAGAGAGAGAGCGTCAGAATATGAGCACTTCTCGTACCCAAGCGTGCACTGGAGTTATCTTTTTTAAATATGGCCACTAAGGGGCAACGGATCCAGGTATTTTACATCATACACACGCACAGATGTTCCCTATTTCCAGATTTTACTCCACTAAAGCCAGAGCGGTGAGTTCTGCGAGCTGTGAATACTCACGTGGCTCCGCTTTTGTCCCACAGCCGGCGCACAGGAAGTGCTGCAGAGCCACAACGTCACTGCGCCTGGAGAAGGAAACGGTAGAATGTGAAGGTCCACATCCATCCATCCATCCATCCACCTGGATTCTGTTTTCTGGATTTCCATCCAGTGCGTTTGAGACGTCATAAGTACCGGTTGGTGGGCTGAACCGTGAAGATGATCTGGAAGCGTGGCGGGGCCCAGCTCTGGGATCCTCTCATCCTGGTCCTCAGTCGGATCTCCTCTGCCAGGCTGCTCACCGCCACACCTCCGCCATCTGGCAACTGGCAAGAAAATGTCAAATTAACCTGTGAAAAGAAGGGGGGTAATATACTGTACAGGCGCCCATTCTGTGGAACTAGAAACAATGTGAGAAGGAGATAGTGGAAGATCTACACTGTAACAAATTGCTGTAAATTTACGGTGTCTTACAGTATGTCACAGTATGTATTACAGTATGTCATAATAACTGTAACATACAGTTAAATTTCCATCCCTTGCTTGTAAATTAACGGCCAATGTCATGAATAAACAGTTAAAGCTGTCAATTTACGCAGACTACCGTAATTCAACTGCATGTTACATATATTTTATGAAGTGGTGGAAATACACATACAAGTGCAGTGAAGCACAATCCATCTACATCTGTTGTAGGTTAATGTATGGAAGCCCACGTCAGCCACTGAAAAACAGGTCCTGTAAGTCATCATAATGAGATAGTATATTCTCATGATATACAACGATGTCTTTGAATTACAGGACATTACTACACATGTAGCTGTTACTTTTATCCAAAACGCCCATGGTTTGACATAATTTTATGTGGAGTAACTGGGGGTTAGGTGTCTTGCTCAGGGACACTTCGACTTGGCACAGGGAGCAGCCAGGATTTGCACTGCCGACCTTCCGCAGCACAGCACACCCTCCCTATCCCATGCGTCGCCGTCGTTTCAGTGGCAGGAATGTAAAGATTATAAATATTTGTATTATTCAAAGTGTTCATTGCCTAAAAGTCATTTGAGTGTCAATCGTGACCGACTGCTCCTGAACGTCACGTGACGTCAGACACGTAATCTCAGTTCATCCAGAACACCATCGGAGGAGTTTCTCATTGCCTCGTCTCTCCAAGGAACGTTGGTGAGTGTTATTTGCTTAACATGATTAACATTCTCTTTCCTTACATCTTGTTGTCTTCCTCATCTTTTGGATCTTTTAATATTTTACCAATGACAGTGTTTCTAAATATTTTATTTTGGTTTGTTTTACAGTAGCCACTGGATTAAGGACGCCAGCCGTCACCCTTTTACCGTTCATTGACCGTAATGTTCATGCCAATTCACTGTAATCCAATTTACGGTAGCATAGTGTAAAAAACATTTACAATAACAGTAAATTCCTGGCGTCCTTGCTGCCAGTAAGTTACCGTTAATTTACGTAGACATTTTTTAGAGTGTAACAAAGAATCATCACTTGCTGAAGTGCATCTTTTGACGTATTCTTACTTCCTGCAGCGAGCTGCGGAGGCTTTGCCGTCCACGGCGAGGCTCACAGGAAGGAAGCCAGCTCCTCCTGAACTCCAGCACCAGCTTCTGGGCCAGCGACTCCGCACTGCATCATGGGACACCACAGAGGGACTCAGGACTCACAGAACCTGAACACAGGTGCAGACTCGGACGGACGGCGAGTCGTTCGGGTGCTCTTACTTTCTGAGAGACTCCGTCTGTGTCGGCGTGTTGTCGTCTCCACACTCTGAAACTAGAACAGGGAAATTTGGGAACGATGAAATGATGTGAGAAGCAAGTCGATAAGGTCAGCTGGAGAAACGTGCTTCTAATACAAAGGGAAACAGTCTGACTTAAAGGTCAAAGGCAAAATTCTTCTAGTTGCTTAAAGTTACCGAGGATGCAGTGATTAGTGGAGGAAGAAGCACCCATATTTAGTAATACTATTATAGCTTTTGTTTCGATCTACCTTCATTATTTACGGTATTCATATACATATTTTTTCATTTAAATTATGTATTATGTTTTTACTGACATTTCAAAAGGAATATGTGACACACTTAGTATATAACACATTACATTTAATCCTCAAACTGTGACTTAATGTTAGGACACAAAGGTAAAGTGCTTTATTTGAATCACACCTGGTCAGTGTTCATGTATGAAATGCACCTTTTTGAATTTTACCTTCGATGCCACTGTCCGAGGAGAGGATGGAGAAAGTCTTTGGCGTATGTTCATCCTCGTGATGCTCTGCGTCCTCTTCGGCAGCCCTGCAGGTCCGTGTGCGTCTGCTTGCCTCACACCGCTGCCTGTGGCCCCGCGGCGGCGCGTCTCTGTGCGTGCACGTGTTGCCGTGCGCGTGTTGTCGCCCGTCCGTCGTGGAGGTCCGTCGATCGCAGCTCAGGGTCCATTTGACCCCCTCCAGCACCTCCAGCATCAAGTCCACCACGACGAAATGAGCGTTCTCCTGCACAGACACACAGAGACGCTGTTGAATCAGATCTGTCATCATTATTGACGAACTGACAGTTTATCGTCGGAGTCAGATGAGACGGTCATTTTAACTCATGCAGAGATTTTAAAAGATGAATATTCAGCCATGTTAAAAATCTCTCTTAATTTAAATCATCCGATTAATTGTTTCATCAATGATTACATTACATGTCATTTAGCTGACACTTTTATCCATTGCGACATACATTACAATTTAAACCCATGGCTTTTTGCCCGGGGAGCAATTAGGGGTTAGGTGTCTTGCTCAGGGACACTTCAACTGGGGCAGCCGGGACTCGAACCACTAACCTTGCCGTTCCCAGCGCACCCACTCTACCCCCTGCGACACGACGACCCTGATGCTGCTCTGAAGTACCAAACTACTGTAACTGATTGAACGCACCTTTTCCAGATCACAACTGGTCTTAAAGATGTCTGCAGGGACTTCTGGGATGCGGCTGCACCTTTTCTCTTTGCTATGATCTGCTGAGGTTGAAGGGACTGGCAAAACAAATACGTAGAAATAATACTTCAACTTTTATTTAATAGTTAAATCAACATTTAAGTGAATTAATTTCTACAATGTGTGTTGGTAGAGAAGAAGATTCCAATGGGAGGGGATTGATTGTACCTCTCTAGAACCATTCTTTATATATTTAACTTGATACGTTATGAATCAGAGGATGAATCATTCTCACTTCATTAATTCCCTGTCTGGCGTCACCACGAGGGTGACATTTTAGCTCGTTGAAATGTCTAAACTAGTCTTTCTAGTTCACAGTCCTCAAAGGAGGATTTTTTTTAACTTTAAACCCTTCAGTTTGTTCACTACTTTGGGGAGAAATACCTGCAAGACAGTGTCAGCATCAGCGTGCGTTTTAATCGGCTCATAACCAGAGGCAGGTGGACTCTGAGCATATAAAGCCTTGTTGTCTCCGCTGGTACACCTGCAACGATGAAACCTACCCGATGAGTCCGAGGCATCACAGCCGGTCGGCCCCCGGCCCTCGTCCCCCTCAGCCAATCCCTGCTGCCCGCCAAAAGGCCGGCGGGCCCAGGGGCCCAGCAGGCGGTTGAGCTGCGAGGAGGCAGGCGGGCAGAGCGGCTTCTTGGCCCGCTGTCCAGCGGACGTGCTGGGGACGGTCGGCGAAACGGGAGCAGGAGTCGGGGAGTCCAAGCTAGAGGAAATCACGCATCTGTGAAAGAACAACAGCGACGGACACACGACGGCCACACGGTACAAAAAGAGAACATTTAAAAAGATTTCCATGAATGAAATTATCATAATGTGGGATGACTCTAAATCTTGCTTGAATAAAAAATATATTCATTAAAAAGGAAACAACATATTATTATTATTAGCAAACAGATAATAAATAGGCTGTTTTAGTTTTGTTTGCCTTATCATTTTGTTATAAGGATTTGACACCTAAATGGAGACGCAAAAAGAGGATTCTTGGATGAACAGCCAAGCGTCGTTCTGTTGAAGCAATGTTTTCCTTTGACAACAGAAAGAGGAGACAGATGCACGTGGAGGGGCGATGAGAAGCGGTCATGTCACCTGGACGGGGCCGACATGCCGGTGTCCTCTCCGTGCCACGAGACGGGCCTGTGGCGTCTGGAGATAACCGGACTGCTCCTGGGAAGGAAGAAGGTTTTTTCCTCCACCTCCTCTTTGCTCCACTGTGTTCCCTCCTCGTTGCCATCATCATCATCATCATCATTATCCTCGCCCCCGCCACTCCGCTCTGTGAACGCCGCCTGCGGTCGTTGACGGGAGAACGTGGCGTCGGTTTCCGGTGGCGACAGGAGGAGAAGCGGAACTGATCCTGAACCGGCCGGCTGCCGGTTGTGGCTTAAATGTTCTTCTGGAGCGACTTGTAGAGAGAAGGAGGAGAAGGCGGAGGGTCTTTCTTGCTGTTGTTGGAACCAGATGAATAACACTAAGAAGCCCTTGAGGCTCTGGAAGCTGCTGCGAGCGGGCGGTGGACCTCACCTGTGGTCGCAGGTACGGGGGAGTCTACGCACCAGCTGATGTATCTGGGTGTGTGGAGGGAGAAGGACGGGCCCTCGCAGCTTTCCATCTGCACAGAAGAGGCGAGGCAACGTTTGCCAGACATCAGCTACAGTGGAAACTTCATGAGAAGAAAGCAACCAGCCGTAGAGATTTTACCAACGCAAAGAACCCCAAAATGACGACTGGCGATAACTGCTGGCTTTAGTTTGATCAGTGCTGCTGCAGCTCCTGCTGCTTGTTAATATATTCTGAATACGACCATAAAACAACTTGAAGGTTCTTGGAAGTCAAAGTCTGAACTTTACTGCCCTCAGTGATACCGAACACGGGAGAAAAGATCAGACCGGACGTGTTGGTGGAAATCAGCATGAGGCCATTTCGGAACAAGAAATGTGGAGATTAGAATAAAACTGAAAGGAAGTTGAAGAAGTTTTTTTTATTTTAGGAATACACGGCGTGTTTTTGGTATGGCGCAAAACACAAAATCACTGACATTTATCAGAACGTGTGGCGTCACGAAAGGATCTGCACTTGTGTAGCAACTGTGCAGAAAACGTACGTTTCCTCAGTTCAAACAGGAGTCTACGATATCAATATTGGCTCCTTAATGGTGTTTTTACAAATTCCAAAATGCAATATGAAAATGTTTTTCGATGTCCAAACCCCATCTGACAGGTCGATGCAGAGTAAACCTCCATTTAACTGTCTGCTGATTTCCAGTGACGACCTGTACGGCTTCACAGTAAAACTAAAACACGTTGTTATATTTGGGGGTACGTTCATCTTATCTTATTAACTGATTTTATTTTATTATTTGGTTTCATGCAACAAATATGAAACTACGTAGCGTAATTTTAACAGCAGCTCAACTTGCAGATACAGATTTAGTAGTTTTACGTTGCCCCTCCCGCCACATGATTCATTGGCTTTTTAAAATTCCTTTAAATTTAAACATTCCCATATTTTTCTAGTGAGCACATAAGCACATCACTCAATGTACATCAAGTTCATAGTGGTTTCACAACATAAAGAACTGTTGAGGTCAGTAGCTGGGATGCAGCTAATTACCAGTAACCAGTAACTAATCAATCAGCACATTAATAGATCCATAAGAGATTCATCACTTTTAACCATCCTTTACAACTGGAAGACACAATATTATCCTTTAAACAATGTCTTAGGTAAAACCTGCATTTAAAAAGAAAGAAGAAAGGAAAACCTGAATAGTACTTTGGACTGAAAACAGAGTTTTTAGGAAGGAACAGTGTTCAACAAGTCGTCTCGTCTCTCTTGAAGAGGCTGGTTGGCTCAAAGCTTCCTGTGTGAGCGCAGGCTGTGATTATCTGATCATGTTGTTACCAACAAACACGTCGGCGTGTCGGCCGAGAGAACAGAGCAAAACTGTCCGAAACACAAGTACAAAGTCTTAAGAACCGCAGACTAAACCAAGCTACTCACCGTTCTGTTATCCCTCAGAATAAAGCTGTGACTTGACAGCGGCCAGGAGGACTGACGTGCGCCTCGTAAGGAAGCGAGGCGGTTGGTGAACGACACTTCCTGTATTTAACGGTGGTTTGTACTTTTTGTGGGTGAGCAGCAGTGTTTCTGCTGAAAACACAGGAGCCAAACAGCTTTGAGCCGTGCTGGAGTAATTAAACCCCAAAGCAAAAATAATAATATGTTAGAAATATGACTTAGTATGACGGGCAGTGTATTCACGCTGCACTAACCCATGCTTTTTAAAATGTGTTATTTAACTTTTGATGATTTTCTTCTGTGGATAAAAAGTGTGATTTTGTTGTTGTATAAATGTGCACTGATGAAAACGATGAGAGAAAATCACAAAAAATGCTCCAGTGGGAGTTTCATGTTCAAAGGTCATAGTGGTGCATCTTCCTCGAACAGAAACTATCGTTGGAACAGCGAAAAGCGTTTAATCAGCAGAAATGTTAAGTGGACTGATGTCTGTCCCCGCAGCTGTCAGCTGGTCGAGAGAAAGAGGAAGTTTTACTCAGAATCAAAGCAGTTTGTTCAATTTACTGTCACAGAAATGGAAATAAATTCAAAATAGCTGAAGTGGACATAAGACATTTTAATTTTACAAAAGGCTGTTTGGCAGGTGACATGTGGTTTTGGGTTACATATAGAATACAGGTTGCAGTGTGGGCTAGTTTGCACATTGTGTCATGGCAAACATACTGCGATCAGTGATCCCCACCGTTTATCTGCTGATACAAGCTTGTTATGTAATCAGTTGACTCAGCTCTTTACTATCCCACATGCACCCACACCCCCGTGCACACACACAGTCTCTTCAATGGAAAAGAATGAAAAGTATTGAGAATTACAGAGTTATTTTTACAGCAAATAGAATTGGATTTCTACCTGATAGCATGTTGTTAATTTCTGTTATGACGCATCAGTGTTTGTTGGTTTATGAGCTCCTAAAAGGAACAGGATTATCACAATCAGCTCCAGTATCAATGCATGAATATACACTTACTAGTAAAGCTTCTGTAAAACTTTATTTTCCACTCCTATCCTGCATGAATGGATCCGTGCAGCAGATGTCACTGTTTGCTGGCATTTCTACTGCTGTTTTAAGCCCACTACTGTTTTCGCAGCTAAACATTCTGGAAACGGGAAGAATGAGTTGATTTGGATATGCATGTATTACATATGTATACATTCATATACATTCAATTACACACGTACAATTCCACAGATTACCAATAACACACCCAAAAATATATTCTCACTAACACACATGCGCCATGAGATGGGATGTTGTTGCAACTCCGCAGTACTTTCTCTAATCTGTTCTAAATTGCTCATATGTCATCCAGACCCTGAAGAGCCTTATATCAAGAGCCTTATATGACAATTTAGAACAACGTTATTAAAGCCACCTATTGGCAATTGGAAAAAATAGGTTGTGTATAATTTCAAGATTGGATTCACTACCTTCAGACAACAGCAGGCAGTGCTGTAGTGTCACCAAAGCAACTATGCCAGCAGACTAAACTGATGTGAATTATTTCCAAAAAGATACTTTTCGTACCCAGTCTACGTTGTTCAGGCCTTCAATGCTACTGATCGCAATTCCCACGTACTCCGGCTTCCCATCCCCTCCTCTTTGGGATCATGTGAATCTCCATGTCAGCGAATGTGATGTCCCTCCCTGCATACTCAGCAGCGGAGGCCTGAAAACACACACACACACACACACACACACACACACACACACACACACACACACACACACACACACACAGAGAACACTTGTGTTAAATATATCAACAAACAGAAATAAATATATAAATAAATACAAAAATAAATAACACAGACCGTCATAGATGGATATAGGGGGCATTTCCCTTTGAATCACACATATTTGGCCTAAATCTGTGTCTAGACTAGCTAACTAAGTTTCACCAGCTACCTGCAGCAATAGGAGCTCTTATTTTGAATTCAGTTCTCACACCCTCTTACCGTAATTCCTGAAACAGACTCGCACTGCGGAACACTTGGAATATTGCGCACTGTGTTTTTTCTAGTGCTAGCTTGACCGCAGCCGCTGGAACGGGACACTTATTTTGAAATCTGACAACCGGATGTCGCGTTGCGGCGCTCCTTTCGACGCTTCACGTAGCGCGCGCGCGCGGACGGACGGACGGACGGCTACCATCGAGGAAGGAAACGCGGCACGGCTCGGCTCGCCTGAAGAAGTCGGTGTAACGGCTGTTTTTGCCCGACCGTTAGCTAGCGCCGCTCTCGATACAACCGACGTATACGCACGCGCCCAGGGAGCCGCGGTGAGGTGGAGCACTGCTATGGCGACGTTGGGACCGGAGTCGGCTCGCGCTCCTCATTCCCAGCTCGGTTCTTCCCCGTCGACCCAGTCGCACATCGGCGGCGCCAACCCGCCTCCCAACCGGGGCTTGGAGCGGGCGCTGGAGGAGGCGGCGGCCAGCGGCGCCCTCAACCTCAGCACCCGAAAACTGAAGGAGTTTCCCCGGACGGCCGCCAACCACGACCTGTCGGATACGGTGGAAGCAGGTAGGCGTCTCTCCTTCGGTTAGCTAGCTTTAGGAAACACGCCCGGGGGGACGACGACGACACCCCCACCGGGTGCTGGGCGGTAACGACTCTCCGCACAGGCAGCGTGGTGGTCCTCGCTGTACTTTGTGCAGTGATGGAATTTCCCGTTAGTCGTCACGAATCAAAAGAGAATGTTTATTTATCTTTTTTTTTACGAGTCGAGCTGCGCTAGCATGCTGCTCTGTGTTGCAGCGTGTGTGTATTTGATGTTAGACGAGGCTGCGTACGTCCCTAACTTTAACTTCACCTGGAGCTGCGCGCGCAGCTGGATGTGAACGCGTCGGGTACCTGCGTTGGCGATTGGGACATTCCCGTGAAAGGCTCCACGACTTCCCAGTTTGCAGTAAAATGTCTGCGGGATCCGAGTGCTCGGTGGGCCTTCGGTGGAATTCCCCACCACTTGCTTTTAATCCGCGCAGAGTTGTAAACACACACACACACACACACACACATTCTGTTTGTGCTGCCTTATTCACAAGCCTTGAGGTTACATAGTTTTTTTTACACATGCTAGTCTTTTGGATCATCTACATAGTTAGTATGTTTGTATGTATGTTAGTAGACCATGTTAAAGGCGATACCCAAATCCGCCCATCTGCTGACGCAGATGATTCCAACAGCTTCATACTGTAAGAACTGCAAACTGAATTCCACTCACCTCCGTTGTGTTGGAGAAAAATACATCCCAAAACCTCATCCTGTAAATCTCAAACCATCACTTTTCTCTGGGGACTCTGTTCTCTTCAAGGTCAGCCCTGGAAAGTCACAGCGGCGTTATTTTGCTTCAACTATGTTTATGTACGCTAAAAAAGAAAATGTGGCTTGCACAACCGCAGTGGGTCACGTCTACAGAAACACACATACACACACACACACACACACACACACTCCTACAGGCTGTGTGACTTTAGCTGAACTGCTCCTGGGTTTACTGGATTTGGATTCAGTCTGCTGGGATCTGATGTTTTCAAACATACCTGTGCAGAAAATAAATGCACTCAGGGGTTGTCTATTCCATCTAGCATCGCACCACAGTGCTGCCTCGCCCATCGGCGTGCATAACCAGCTACCTTGTGTTTGTGATGTGACAGTATTTTGTCAGTTGTGTTTTTTTTTTTTTGCCATGCTCTGTGTTATAGATGATGCTTTCTGTAGTTGGTTCGGATTTCATATTCACACATTCCCAAAACATGACATTTTCTCTGTCATGGGGACCTGTGTTTTGATTTCTTCAGAGTTTGTGGCACTAGTTCAGGTGCCGAGTCCGGTAAAGCATTTGTTAAGATTTAATATGAGACTGAACAAAAAAAAGTTCCCGTTGAACGACACTGCTCATTGTTGTCTTTACTTCAGAGCAACACAACGTGGGAAAATGAAGCCGTTCCGTGAGAGAACACATACATAGTTGGAGGGATGTGAATGTACTCAAGTGTCTGCTGGAATGGATGTTTGGTTACTGGCCGAACTTGGCCAGTAACCTTGGCTGCCAGGAAGGCGGGGGGCTTGTCAGGAAGGGGAACGGTTCTGAACTGTCAGTCGGTAAAGTGTGAGCCATCAGAGAGGCCTCTGACTCAGGCCACACTGTTTGATCACAGAGCTTCTTCTAGAGCGTAGAGAAAATATCCAACCACTAAGCCTTCCTTCTGCACGATTGCAAGCGCGACATGAATTAATCGCTCTCCTGTGAGTCTGCAGACTGTCGCAGGGAGCATCCAAACCAGCTTTCAGTTGGAGTGTGAATGAGCAGCCGTGCATGTCCACATCATCACCGCTGCGACTCTGAAATAAAAACGCGCAGCGATGCAGAATTGTGCCGCCGTGTGGGCGATTTTTAGGTTTTGTACAGTTGACCCGCAAACCTGCTTACTCGGGTGTTTTTAGTAGCCATGGCGGCAAGCTGCGAACATTGAACAGGTCATTAATTAAGGACGACAAGAACTTTGATCAAGACACATGATGTGAAAATCGATGAGAAGGAACCGAGTGAGTCACCACGTGCATGCACATGTGTGAAAAATGCAGACACACACGCGCACATAGTCTGAACCCATACTAGTTTCATATCAGCAGCCACACGAGTCCCAACTTGCAGTGAAACCCAAACTGAAGCCGGTTTCCTCCAATGTTTCTTTTTTACCTTTTGAGCTTTGCTGGAGAAGAAAAAGCTGACATTTTGGACGGGACGTCCGAAGGCCGACTGTTTAAAATAGTTAGTTAGTCAGTTATTTATGTGACAGAAATATTTGTTAGACAAGAAAGACGTTGAAACCCTCGGGCTTCAACGTCGATGTGTGTTACCCTTTCCATGTTACATTACATTACATGTCATTTAGCTGACGCTTTTATCCAAAGCGACGTACAATAAGTGCATTCAACCATAGGGTACAATGTCAAGCAAGTGGGTCAAATTTGGGGTCCCGGATGGGTTCTGTGTGCATGGGTAACCCGTAACTGAGATGAGAAAGATTCAGCATATTTATTTTTGAACACTTTCCAAGTGGGCTGAATGAGTTACTGGTAATCCTTATTGTTGAGGCCTGATGGCCCTCAAATATCGCACCTTGGCACAGCCGGCCGATCGCAATATTCTGTAAAATAATATTAATAATAATAATATAAAAGTTTGACTTGTTGATTTCAGAAAGTTACGCTAAGTGTCCTATACAGCCCCCAATCCTTGACATGTATATATATTAGGGCTGCAACTAACAATTATTTTGATAATCGATAATTGATAATTATTACCATCATTGTAGTGCAAGTTAAGTAAATCCATACAGCTAAAAAACGACCAAGTGCTATGAGATGAATTTAAAATAGCATTTGTAAATAAATGCATTAGAGGCTTCTTAGTTGATTTAATGCAGGGGTCTCAAACTCGCGGCCCGCGGGCCAATTGCGGCCCTCGGGACGATATTTTGTGGCCCCATCCTTAATATGAAAGTGTAATGTTAGTGCGGCCCGCAAGTTTTATACTGTAACCCCACTGTCAGCTGCTGTGTGGGACATGTTATGATGTTCTGGTTTCCTACTGTGTGCTTGTCCAGTGAACGTGGCATGCATGTGACTGACATGGGGGGCGGGTCGTGTGTGTCGGCCGAGGTGCAGAGAGCAGGAGGGTGAAATTCAGTTTCCTGCCCTCTTTCGCGCAGGTGATCATGTGACTAACCGTTAGCGTCGCTCGTTTAATAAAGTTTTCCTTTACGACTCACACTAACAACACGTGAAGCATCTGACGTCACCGACGAGCGTCTCCGTCCATCACTACGCAGCTTCGATTCACGTAACTTCACGTTTGGCTATAAAGGAATTCCACGGTCACATGACCTTAGGTCTCCCCCGCTGAGTTAAAGGAGGACTAGTGTTGTAGTCTCATTCGGACCGATCCCCCAGGGTGGGGTTCAATGACTGCTTTTGAAAGTGAGTGTTAAGTTGTGTTATTGTCGACCATGCCGTTCGGACGCTAGTCTGGCCCGCGTTCAGTTGAAGTGGGCTGCATCTGGCCCGCAGCTGATTTGAGTTTGAGACCCCTGATTTAATGGATCACCATGTGTCTCCCTTTACAGGCATAACATCAACTACCGTATAACCCACAGTATATGCGCAAGCGCACTGGACTACCATTTATGACAGCATTAAAAGTACAACACACACAAATACGTGTATCAACAATTACCGATATGGGACAAAGCACTAAATATCAGACATCCCAATGAAAAATGAATGGTCCAAAAGAGGCAAGTAAATAAAAACGTGTCTTAGTCTTGCTAACTGCTTAACTGCTGTTATTAGCGAGCTAACGCTAGCTTGATCAGCTGGATGACGAGTAAACACGAGGCTTGTTACGTCCCTCACGTCAAAACGGGACAACGTGGACCGGGACCCCCCACGCTCACACACCTTAGACGACTAGTCGAACAGACGTCTCTCCCTGCGTCATGTGACTCACAACAACTGCCGGCTGCTCTTTCCTCTACGTCTGCTCGGCGCCTTTATTTTTATTTTTGCTCTGAAAAGGTAAAGCTAGGTGCTTTTCCAAACCAGACCAACTTGTCAGTCTGCTTTCTGTCTTTCGGCTGATATGGTGAGATCATCTACATCCGCCAGACCATAACCGTGTGTGTGATGGGGGTATTCTTCTGCACCGGCTACCTGCTGAGGTTTCAAAGCTCAGTTCTGAGAAATAACCTCAGTCAACTTACAACGGCTGTGAGTTTGGCCATTAAGCGACTGTTTTATTATTCGATTAATTTGCAGATTATTTTCTAAGAAGCTATTCCTGGATGGTTATTGTGTAATGTGTGTAAATGGCTGTTATTGTGGGTTTGTCTTCTTTCAGTTTTGTTCTGAGCTGCAGGATGCTTTCACTTTGCTTTCTTCTTCTGATGCTGCTGATTAAAAGTAGAAGAAATATACAATTACACATGACTCTATTTTTCTTCATTCTGCTATGACAGCCTGTTGGGTTGTGTGTTTGTGTGTGTCTGTGTGTGTGTGTCCGACAGAAGCCCACATTCCCAGCATCAGACAAAGCACATTTCTGCAGTGTTTAGCAGTTTTTCAGTGGACGCACACTACGTACATTAGTAAGTCATTTTGACAGAAACAACATCCCCTGTATGAGGGTTCATATGTTTGAACTACGCAGAATGTTAAATACAAAGATTTCTGATTCACATTGTGACGATTTACAGGACTTATTTAATCTGACTTGCTTCATTCTCTTTCACATTGTCACACACATCCAGATTGAAAAAGATTTGCTTTTAATTTAGGAGCAGAAACTGGCATCATCCTCCCAACCATTCAGTGTACTTCATTGTTATCTCTAGTCTCTGTTTTACCGTTTGACCCAAAGTGAGCTTGTCAATCAGTGGAATTGTTCATTTTCATTATGTTGAGTAGTGATAAAACATATTGTGATAAAGTGACAAATGCAATTTAGGTTTTCACTCAGT